TATATATATATATATATATATATATATATATATATATGTATGTCATTAAATCTAACTTATATAAAAATAATCATTTAAAAGACATACATTCTATACAATTACATACACCAAAGGCTAAGCATGCATACAAGTACATCAAACCAAGACCTCATAAAAAGAGAAAGATGGCAAAGGATACTGACACCACAATCACAGTTACTTTTGGCATATAAATGATCAGAACCAGCTCAAGTATTTTAGTAGGCACCCAAAGTACAACAAAAGGTGAGAATGTGGTTAACTTCAATGATTCAAATTTTTTAGCTTAAAAGTTTTATTGAGAGAAAGAGGGGTGTAAATGACATCAGTACCACCAATTTCAGAGTTTAAAAACATGCATAAGAAAGTGTGGTAAGTAAGTCTTCGATTATAAATATCAAAGTTTGCAAGTTGTCACACAGACTCGAAGAACTCGTAAACAGACAGGAACTCGGGGTCAGTAACCTGAACTATTTTACATCAGATAAAGTGAAGAAAACAACATCCAATCTGACCAAATTGGAACCATCATCAGAATATGATATTTACAAAGGCAAGAGCACTAATCTAGAACATGAAATTTATACTGCAGGTATTGAAACTATTTGATAGAAAAATCTGTGTTAACTGCCCAGAAAATATATGGCCCTTAGAATGAGACAGGCTCATAAATTAACAATGTGATATTGGGCCCAAATGAGTTTTCCTGAGTCCGTGCACACAGGCAGATAATAAGTGGTCCTCACAAAAATGCACTATAGTCAGAATGAGAGAAGTTTAATGTAATTTCAAAAGAAATCTTTAACAAACATTCCTAACAGCCATGAGCTACTTGGCATATATTTATACAACACAGCTTCTCTGCATATGGTCACAACTTCTTGAACTCATAACAAAGCACTCCCACACAACTGCTATAACAAACATAAAAAAATGTATGTGAAGACTGATCCTCCCAACAAAAACATCACAGAAGAACGAGTAATTAAACAATACACAAATTAATTAACATATCATGGTAAATGACAAACTCTACTGCTTTATATAACAAAGAATATGAGACACCCTATTTCCGAGTTCAAAGTAACATCCTGTGTCTGTAAAAGGAATTAATATTTAAAAAAGTGCCACAACTATCCAAATGTCTCAGTAATTATGAAAATGAAGGCTTATTCTAAGTAGCTGAAGTGAGTCCAAAGAGAAGAATTATGAACTGATAAACAAGACATTTGTAAACATGAAAAAAAAGAGTCAACAAAAAGGTAAATATTAATGTAAAGAACAATATCTGATTGATTAAAAGAGAAACGACTTCTTGTTAGTAATGTTTACCTTCACAATTATGAACTATAGTGTATAGTCAACTTGTGGAACATAGATAAAACATAGCAGTCAAAAAATAGTTTTTCTGGAGAAAGATCCTGAGCAAATAAATCTTTTAAAAAATATGTTTACAACCCCATTCATCCTGCATGCAACAAATGATGAACTATTACATAATGAGTTTGTGAAAATATGACAGACATATATATATATAACCTCATTAATGAGGAGGAAAAAACATAGAGGGGCAAAAAAATCTAAATCTTGGTCAAATCAGTAAAAATAAGTAACTGGCAGAGGACGTGTACTGTCTTTGAAAGGTTGACTGTAAAATAGCTATGCTTTTCACAACCTACATAATAATATATGTAAACGAATTCTTTACTTTTTTTTTGTTGGCCTTCCAAAGATATAGCATGTGACCACAAAATTACCTTCTAAATAAAATATATTAATGGATACAAAGCAACCATTTAAATTAAATGTCAGTTCGAGAAATTTAAAAAAAAAACTTTTTTATTATGATCTGGCACAAAAATATCAAATAACAAAACTGACAGTGATATAACAGTTTATGAACAATGTGCATTTTAGTACATTTTGTTGTTACAGATAAGAAAACCTGAAGTAGCTTCTTCAGTGATAAATGTAGACTTCACTATTTTCACACATATGTGAAGCAACTATTGTATATTTTTACCAACTAAGACCGTTCTAACTGTGTAGAAACAAACATTAATATGCACTATTCTGCTCTGGTCTCAAGGTTTTTCATGCTGTTGTTTTCTTACCAAAGAAATAAAATTCTGTACTAACAACTCAATAACATGCTACATTAAGGTTTATGTACAATATAGTAGCCGTGACTTCACTTTTGAAAGTATATTTCACTTACTTACTTAACAAGTTAAATAATTAAAAATTTTAACATTCAGAAAAATGTGATATGGAAGATGTACAGGCAATTTTACACATGCAAGTAAAAAATCATATTCCACAAATAACAACTTGGTAAACAGCACAGCCAATCATGACAGAGGAATATACCATTAAACATTTTTAAATCTAACATGTACTGTAGTAATGCAAACCTACCAGACTTGGGTCTTGAAAATACTGAGAGTTCAGAACTATACACATCATCCCTCCACACCAGAAAGAAAAGTAATCATCTCCAAAAGTGTTCTTGTAAGTTATTATTGAGTCTGGAGTTGGAGTATCTCCAATATCGTGATTTCCACAAACACAAATCAGAGGAATTTCTGGATCTAAGTCACTGAAAACTTTCTTGAAATCAATCTCTTGAGGTTTACGTAAAGTGGTTCCTGCATTAGCAACATCAATATAATACTGAAGATCAAAACTACAAGTTCAACTCTTAATAGTAAACTGAACTTTGCATAAACAATGTACTTATGCTATAAAACCTCTTAAAAGTAATATACT